TCACAACAAATCATGCTCTATAGACTTTTCGATTCTCAGTCGCTTTGGAATCGAGAAATAGGGAGCACCCCGGATCACGCTAGTATTAGATTTCGTCGTAATCCTCTTCTACATTCTGGAGTTGGTAGCGATTATTTCCTCACTGAAATGAAGATAAGGCCTTTTTCATCGTAAACCTGTAATCCAAGAGGCTGAGTTGTAAGATGAGATTAGACTCCAAAGTAGAGCAGGTTCTTTCCCCATTTGGTTGAAAGGTTCGCATCAAAATACAACCTTGAGCTGAGCAATAATGCTGAAAGATTATTAAAGAGCTTTTCGTACTCATTCGGTCGGTAACCTTTTTCCTGTCAAGAGTCACCTATCGGTACAAAAGATCCCACCTCAAATACATTCTAGCCTATTTTGGCCAAGGACTTAACGTATTTTCTCTGGACTCCCAGAGTCCCAGTCTTCAATTCAGTCCGGATAAGAATAGCCTTTGCGATGTAGTGCAAGAGCAAATTCTGTCATTACACCACAACGACTAGCAACGCAAATATGTTGTGTAAGACATCATGAAAATGGATATCAGTTCCCGAGAATCGCTGCCAAATGGCAAGTTGATTACTAACAAGAGTTTATTTCTACACATAATTTTACTGCAACGTATAATTTAAAAGTAAGTTCCTCCTCCAAAAGAACTCCATTTTCATATTCCTCCGGATTTATTCGCCTACTTCAACACAATTTTAATCACAAGCCGTCATTCACAAGAGGCAACCACCCTCTATTTTGTCTTCCAGTTTACTGTAACAACCACAAAGCCGTATAGAAATGTATCTGTCTCCGCGACCCATGGGTTCGATTCCGCTCAGGCAGTTGATAAAGTCGATATCGAAACCAACGTTTGGCCTAAGTCAGAGGGAGGGTTTTTCGCAAGAAAGTTAGTCTTCTCAATTCACAGGTAAAAAGGTGAACTCGCGCTCCTTAGCTCACAAGTCGACTCAGAGAACAGTAAGAATATCTAAAACTTACATTTCATCCAAGATATGAAGACCGAGATGGTGTGGCCTTTCGTCTCTGTTAAATGACTAAAAGTGGGTTGATCTCGTTTTCCCAACTTGGTCGTGTTGTCAGGGCGACTTAGTTGAACGCACCTTGTCCGAAGTCCTCCGCTATGTTAGATATCATAATTCCTAGCTTTGAGGATCGAATCGGATTAGCCCCAATGTATGTCACCCTGACAACATGACCATGTTGCGAAAACGAAACCAAACAATTGCTATTACATTACTTTGAACTGCGCAACGTTTAAATTCGAGAAATGATTATCATCATCATTAACACTTCGAAGCACTTTTGCGTGGATGTATAGCTGTTCTTGCATTGTAGACTTGTTCCAATAGGTTTGCCCATACGTCAAAGTGCACTGACGTGCCTTGCGTGTGCATGTGTAGTTGGGGGGTGGGCATGACTGTGTGGTAGATAATGTCTCCTGACAGCATTTCATAAATACATTGTCAAAAACACGTCGAATGGTAAAAATGTTGCCATGAAATTGATTTTTAAACAATTCTATGGTGATACATTCACTACAAAGCGTCCTGACCTTTGCACAGGAAATGCGGACTTTGTGCAAAAATCGTGGTAATTCGGCCAATTCACCCACACCACCGTCAACTGCCTTGGAGGCGTCTCATGCTCAGCCTCCCACTTTGCATCTTCCCTACGCCTCCACACCCTCCCCCAACCGATGCTACCAGTTGCCTGGGCAGGTCTTGGTGGCTTACCGCCCAGCGACTGCATTGATCTGTTTGTCCGACTCAACTAGCCCAATACACACCAGAAGAGGCTTGTGGGACAAAAATATCAAATTATATCGATATAACTAACTTGTTTCGTCGGTTAACTGGGAGGCTGATTATCACAATTGATCGGACTCCTGGTTAGGTATGACTAGACTCATACTTGATATATACACACAGACATACACACAAACAGCCGGCCGTCGAGACACACTCATACAGTATTGGTACAAAACAATTTACTCGGATGATGAATAGCTTTCGCAATGCCTGCAAAAGGTTGGAACATAAGCTCTCTTGGAAGAGGATTGATTAAAAATCCAATGTTCTCCTCAAACGGCCATCTAACCCTGCCTATCTGACGCTGTCTCCCTCTCGTCCTGATGGCTAGTCTCCACACCTCTCCACACCTCGCTCAGGCCAACTCCCATCGAGCCATCCAGTCCAACGCCCTAAAAATCCACTCTTAAATTAATCGTAATTAATCGGTCAAATGATACGTCGCCTGACTAAAATGGCAGCATGGTCTCAGCTCGAGCCATCGACATTATACATCTACCGTCGCCATTAGCGAGCTGGCTGCTTCTGCTGCTGCCAGTCTTCATGTGCACCTGCCACAACCCCGATTGTCCTCGTCATGTGGTTCAATAGAGGGTGTACAGGGTGAGGCTATGAATGAATGAGCAGGACGCCAACGCGGACAGTTGGAGCAGCCGATTGGTCGTACTCACCTTGGTCCATAAAATGTCTTTGTCGATAACATCATGCTCTTGCATTCTTCAAACAGATTAAAGCGCATTTCCTTTGCTACAACCGGTGACGATACTGCCGAAAAGTGGTTTGGAAGCTTGCCATTTCATGATTTCAGTGGGTACTACTTCACACTAAAATAGTAGTATTAAATGACGATCAGTTTCATCTAAATTGGAGGACAAAATGAAGGGAGCTACTGTATCCTGGTAAACTCAACTAACATAAAACAATGAGATGTATTCACCCTATTTCGTGTAAGCTGATGAAGGACTGGTAGTAGTATTTTCCCACAACGATATGAGTTGAGCTGACGTTTCCATTGAATTTCACATAGCCTTGCTTTCCCTAAAGTTGTTCTCATCCA